TTTTGCTCTTAAAAATACAGCCGCCTCACCCTCTAGGATTTCAGTTGCTCAACTCTGGTTGCTCAACTCTGGATTTTGCTAAAACTTTGTGGCGCTTAAAGTCTGATTTTACAAAAACCATAGCAGCTATCAACAGACCGTCTTCAGTTTTAGAAAGACAAAGGATTTATCTACAAACTGAGCTTTAAACTGTTTTTCTACGTGAATGTATGGCGACACAGTGAAGTGCTGTTTTTAATGCTTTTTCTTTGCCGTCCCCATTCATTCAGCAGTGGCCTCCCTAATTATCCTAACACGAATAAATCTCGATCCATGAGATCTGATGTCTGATGCCACTTTGTCTGGTTTGAGAAGAGGGGAAGGAAATGATAAAACAGAAGTATGGATCAGAGTTATTTTCTGTGCAAAAAAAAAAATAAAGAGTAAAGAAAGTAATTGGCAGGAATGGCTCCAATAGTGGTTTCCCTTTTGTAAGAACCGGTTAAGAAACTCAGCAGCACATATTTTAGCCAGAATTATCTTCACAATTTCTATTGTTTGCTAAATACTTACAGGAAGTAGAAAGCCTACATTCATATAATCATTGTTGAGTTGACTTAAAAATAAACTTGTTAGCTGATGTTATGCATATAAATATATAGTTTTGTTTAACACAGTGCTGAACCAGAGGTGCCATAGTGTCATGTGGACATTTTTTTCTATTTTTTGCTGCACTAGTTTATTTTCTTTTTGTTAAACTGTTACAGAGACAGAGGGGTATTTCTCTTGACTCAGATTGCTTTTTAAGTCATTTTGACCGTTATCTCCGACAGTAAATGTTCCTCAAGAGCTCCCTCCTGCACAGAGGCTCGGTTCTGTTTCTTTTTCTCCCTGCTTTAAAAAAAGACTACTGAAAATGTTTTTATTTTATAAAAACGGCAAAGCAAACCAAAAACTCCTTACTGGACCTTTTACAAGCAATAACCAGCAAAGGTTTCTCCCTGGATGGAGAGAAATTCAGTTTCCTCTGCTGAAAGGTCACTGCTGTTAGATAACTCGATGCTGATGACAAATCACCAGCCCTGTTGATTCTTCTCACCGCAGCCCACAGTCTACTGTTTGCTATTTTTTATGAGACATAGAAATTGATCCAAAGCAAACTTTCTGCCAGATGATTTATTGATTGGATCAGTGTGTCAGTTTTTGTTTTGACAGGGGTCCGCAGAAAGGTGGTGGAGCTGGATTTAAAAGGAAAGGGGTCAGAATAATTCAGTGAGGATGATGAGATTATTTTTGTTTTGCTCCTGAAGGCAGCGTGGAGACAGAGGGACGGAAGATCTGCCGAGCAGATGTTCAGCAGCTCTTGGAGGGGGATGAAAAATAAAAGTCCATCTAGTCAGTTCATTATAATTTTATGAGTTTGTTGGAATTTCTATGGTTCTTAGAGTAAGCTGGCGTTTACCTCCAAATTACCAGGGGACTAAATGAGTGTAAAAATGCTTTTACTCCAGATTTATCTTCAGTAAAATGTCTCCAAACTGACTGGTTTGTTTATCTTTAAAGTGTTGCCTGCTATAACGGCCTATAAAGAGAAGCCTCAAAAATATCCATAAATACCAGATGCTCTCCTGAGGATTCATATGAGACTGAAATAATCTAAAGAGCAAATCCTGCTTTTTAAAGCACTTAAAACATGCCAAATCTTCCAGGGGTTTATTATATTCCAACATCTCTGATGCTCCTCAGAATCTGGGAAAAAAATAAGCCTGCATTTATGTAACAATTAAATGCACCCGCTACTGCTTCCAAAGAATATAAGAGCAAAATTAGTGGCTAGGTGCAGCTTATCAATTGGACTCAATTAACTGATTATCTTCAGTGAATGGGCTTTGTGAACGCAGGAGTTTGACTGTTTAATGGACTAGAGGTGTTTATTTATACTATGCCAAGGAATTAAAAAAAGAAAAAAATTATAGAATATTAGCAATCACTTGAAGAGCAAATTTTTTTACCAAAATAAGAAAAAAGACTTGAATAAAACATATTTTTTTATTCGCATTACTTGTTTTATAAATATTCTTTTTAAATGAAATATATAAAAGTATTTTTAACAAACTATAAAAAAGTTATTATTAACTGGCAAAATGGATACATATAAATAAAGATATAAAATTTCTCCACTGATCATCTGTTGAAAAGCTGTGATTCAAAAATATTATATTCTTTGTTATTTTATTTTTGAAGGAAATAAATATCCATTTTGAAATAAAATTTAAGTGGAAAACTGCAAAAAATAAAAAGAACTAATTTTTTTTTTTAGAACATCTTTGAAAACAATTAACTGTGTTTGTTTCTTTCTTACAAACTGACCAGGAAATTAAAATTTTTAAGATGTAAAAGTTTAAAAAAAGCGCTATATTAAAAAATAAACTAAATATTATGAAAATATACAAATATAATAGATTTTTAAAATTAAAGTGAAGCAATTAAATTGTTTAAAAAGCTCTTAGAATACATTCAGGAAACACTGGGGAAAAACATACAATATTTAAAGACAACATGTTGAAAGTAGCCTTTTGCTTAACTTATAAAAAGTTAGATAATAAAAAAAGATATCTTAAAATATGAAATGTAATTTAGGACAAAAGACAGACACTAAATATTTCACACGTTAAATTTTTGAGTGTGTTTTTTTTTTTTCAGTAGCATATGCAGTTTATTTGTATTTTTCTCCCATCTCTTCAAATTTCCAGGTCATTAAGTAAAATGATCTTCAGCCTGTTGTGTTTTAGTTTGAGACAAGAAAAGAAAAACAGAAAATAAAATAAAACATATGTCGTATCAATCTGCAATTTTTCCCCTCCAGTTTTTAACTCAACTAAACCTGAATCCACTTTCCATTACAGAAAGTTCTTTAGTACAATATCCCATCAGTATTATTAACAAAAAGGACTTAACAGCTGGACTAGAAAGCTTCCAGCACACATTTAGTCAACATGTTCTTCTAGCCTCATGTTTGTCACGAGAATTGATAACATCAAGTGAACTGCATGTAAAAATAAACCTTAAACTTGTTTGTTTCTTTTCCCTGATGTTCAATGACAAACCAGACACAGCAGATGTCTTATTGTTTCACTGGATAATTATGTCTCAGAGAAAAATAGAAACAAAAAAAGATGATCCCTCCTTGTGACTGACTGATTTATGATCCTGCTGCTGTAATAAAGAGACAAACTAAGAAAAACAGCAACAGCCATAAATTATTATCCACAGTTCTGGAATTGAAATCAATCTGTCATTTCTAAGTATGACAAATGAATCTAAAACAATGTTTGACAATCCCTATATATGATCTCTTCAAAAGTTTTCAAACCATTTAAAAGTTTTCAGATCGTCTCAGATTATAAAGGCAAACTATAATTTATAAAAACTGGTTCTAATGTTACCAACCCACATCTGCTGATGCTCTAGATGTGCAGGGGAAGGTAGATACCCCAATAGACCTGAGGTGTAATTTCAGCAAAAACTGGTTTTATATTAGTAAAGAAAATAGGGATTTGCTCTGGGGGGTGAATGTAAATGCACACTTTTATGATTTTATTTTTCAAAAATTGGAAGAAAAGCCATGATTTCTTTACTTCAACTCAGAAATATAGGCGACTTTATGATGGTTTTACACAAAGAATTGAAAACAGATATTTTCATACAATGTTCAAAAGATCACATTATTCTAACTGCTTTATTTTACAATATTCTTATATTTTTCTGTTTAAGAACAGTTAGAATCAGCAGAATCCTTACTTGCTAAATACCTGAGTGTAGTGGGAAATAATCTATCCCCTATTAATTCCCCTCTATATATATTTATGTAGGTATATATATATATATATATATATATATATATATATATATATATATATATATATATATATATATATATACATAGTCAGAGAAGAGCTGGAGAAAACCTGGAAGGTCAAGGCAGCAGTGGTACCCGTGGTAATTGGGGAACTCGGGGCAGTAACTGTCAAACTTGAGCAGTAGTTACAGCAGATCCCTGGAAATACATCAGACATCTCGGTCCAGAAAAGTGCAGTTCTAAGAACAGCAAAAATACTGTGCAGAACCCTCAAGCTCCCGGGCCTCTGGTAGAGGACCTGAGGTTGAAGGAAAAAAGGGGGAGACTGCCCACGGTGGGTGAGGAAGAATTTAATATACAGATTTATGAGAGCACAGTTTTATTTGTTTATCCTCAGAGCTGCTAGGCCACAACATGTCTAGGATAGAGGATAGTTATCATAGCATTAAAGTGAGATTATTTTAACAGTAATCTCCTAATTCTTCAAATTCAGAAGTTGACATCCATTTCCTCAGTATTCAGTAGACCTGGCTTTAACAGTGGGACTTGGGACAAACGTTTTCGCTCTCCTTGGACAAGCTTCTAACAGTAGTTTGCTGAAGTTTTGACCGCTTCCTCCTGAGAGAGACGTTACTCTTATCTTGTTTGTAGTCAAACAGTGATCCTGTTTTTTTCTGCTTCTTTTTGGACTGATGGTATACTCTTCAGTATCCCTTCCACTCATATTGGTTTCATCCAGCATATGATTGATCTTCTACCATTGCTCTGGGTTTGAGGCACACATTTCTGACTGAAACACGTCCATCTCTGTGACACAGAGCCTGACTCTTTCTTGAACAACTTGATTTCTGGAATTTTCTATTCTTTTTATGCTTGTTTCTAATTGTGTGAGATTAGCATGGCAGCATTATGGCGCATAAAGAAGCAGTCTGTTGGAGATGTTGCCTCAAAAATATATTCAGAGGAGCCTAAGAAAGACCTGGCACCATCTAATAGTTCAAAACCAGTGCGTTTACAGCCAAAACAAGAAGTAAAACGCTAAGTTTTACTTCTTGTTTTGGCTGTAAAATTCCACTAAAATCCACTGGAATTTTCAAATGTTGCGTTTCTGCTCTGATGCAATGATCACTTCTTTTATTGTTGTTCAATTGTGTCTCCTCAGCCTGACAGAACGTATGACCTGAAGATTGGTCAGCCTACCGTCTCCTACTTCCTCAAACAGGCGGCAGGAATAGCTAAAGGTGCCGGTAAGACAGGTGAGAAGTCCTGGAAGCTCTGGCTTCACTGAAGCAGGCATGTCTTCATGCTGGCAGTCTGTTATGATTGATGTTTTATTAATGAGAGGAGGGAGCACCGGAGCTCAGGCTGCATCCCCACATTTTTGCTTCAAGCTATCCTCATTGTTTCCTTGCTCCAGCATCGCATCCCGTGTCGCAAACCCCAGCTGCACACCCAGGGGTTTACTCTGTTCACTCTGTCTACTTTTCTGGCAAACTTTCTGCAATGCTCACAGCCTGAATAATGTTTTATGTATCCTTTTTTTCCCTATTGTGGATGTGAAGGCCAAGAGACAGCTGGGATTGTGTCGGTGAGAGCCGTGTACGAGATCGCACAGGTAAAAGCTCAGGACGAGTGCTTCAAGATGAGGGACTCCTCCCTGGAGACGGTCGTCAAGAGCATCGTCGGCTCAGCCCGCTCGCTGGGAATCAAAGTTGTTAACAAGTAAGCTCACATTCTGTAATCATTGTCTGGTCCAACATGTTTTACATATTGCCTTTACCGTGTTCTTGAGAAATCTGTAATAGGCCAAGGTTGTTCAGCTGCCTTGAACGCACAAACCTTTTTAGAAATGCAGAAGAATTTGTCTAGAGGCCCGTAGAAGAGAAACTCTGACTTAGAATTTAATGTGGAGAGAAAGGACAGCTGTCATATCGTTGTTGTTTTCTGCATGTCCTGCTATGCACTCAGATGTCCACTAGAGATCAGCAGAAGAACTACTGAACAATGAAATCTGAGGGTGCTCATCTTTATTTTTTACCCTGATAAAGTATAGTAAAATATTTACAATGTGCTTTAAAGCAGGTTATTATCGTAGGCTCTGATTTATGACTAAATAGGACTTAAATTTTATTTGTCCGACTTTCACAATCCGACTTGGAGGAAAAAAAACATTTATTTAGACGATCACCTGTGTTTAAGCAAGACCTTTCCTCTTCAGCATAACATCTAAATTTGTATAGGAAAAAAAATCTAATAAAGAAAATAAGATTGCCTTTTTAAACAGTAAACTCCTGTTCCTAAGGAAGTGTCAGTTAAACGAGTGGCATTTAAACCAGTAAAGCTTTTTGAATAAGCAGCAGAAGTAACTGAAAAGAAGAAGTAGCCAATGCTATCAAAACCCATCTGATGCTGTCTTGATTTTTGCTCTTCCTCTTTTTTCTTTTGGTAGTGGGGCTGTAGTTTTCTTTAGAGGGCCAGAGAGTAATGCATCACAGTGGTTCTCCATATCATAACAACGTAAATTCACTTTTCTACTGTGGCCAGAAAGAGAAACGTCAAACTTTGGACATCATCTTTATCTGTAAAATAAGAAGTTTGTTACTTTTCTAATGTATGTGGGAAAAAAATCCAATTTTGATACAATTTTACACCCAATCAAAGGTATAGTGAAGGATTTTTACGAATTTTAAAAAGACCCATCTACCCCACTTAAAAAAAAAAAAATGCACATGCACAACCCTGTATCCGCTCCCGAGAGGGAGCACCTATTAAACATATGCGAGAGCATGCACAGCCAATTTCTCCTCTCACACTTGCTGTTTGCTTCTCTCATATAAGCTTACTTTCCAAAACAAGATTTGCAATGTGGACAATCACGTAGGACTGCCTTACGTAAACATATCATCAGACTGTTTGACAATTAGGAGGACCACTTATTTTAATGATCCACCCAGAAAAAGAAGTTCCTTCACTCCACCTTTAAGGATTCACTGCATGTGTTGAATTCCTCTGAATAACCAGTAGTTATTGGCCCAAAAGGCCCAGATTGAAAGGATTTAGTAATTTGACTGTTATTTCTTACTTTTCCTGTATGTACTTGTTAAACCTTAGTAACGGCTGCCTGTTATGTGTTATGGCTAATGTTTTCCCGAGCAGTAAACAGGCAGAGTGGATCATTCTTTACAGAGAGCTTTGTCTGTGTGCATTTGGTTCGTCCTTGATCTAGAACACTGTTATGTTGATATGATTGAGTCAGTGGTGTCTCTTCATTTACAAGCAACATGTGTATGATGGGGCATTGTGACCCTGGAGACGTATAAAAGGTTGTTTAGCTGTTATTCTGGGCTGCACACTTCTGGACGAAGTGAGCCTGATGGTAACCATGAGCCATTTCTCTGCTCTCAGTAAGATCAATTCTGTTATGTGCAAAAGGTCGAAAAGTTCAAGGGGGGCGAATACTTTAGCAAGGCACTGCATCCATTATGAAGTGTTATTTAAAGTGTTTTTGTTCTGAGTGATTCTTCCCAGGAAAGAATCCAGGAGAGAAAACTTGAAGCTGTAAACATGCAGAACCTTCCTTTACATCACCAACTTGTTTGCTCTGACTTTAAACCATGTTTTGAAGACCTGATTTGAGTCTTTAGAGGAATGTAAAGGTCAGAATTTCCTAAAACCAGACTTTACAGACTGGAAACTTGATCATTTACCAACTACATAAAGGGTTTAATTGCTATAATACCAATAGATTTAAAATGTAAATTAAAAAACTTTTTTTTTTTCCAAAACTGATATTCGTATTATATCATGTTTTATTGTCTTTGAAATTCAGTTCTTTGACTTACTCAGAAAAAAATTATAAATTTTAAACCTAAATCCTCCAGGCATGGGAAAAATTCATAGTTTATTTTGGATGGACAGCACACTGCAGTAGAGGTCCCACCTGCTGTCTTAGATTATAAATAGCAAAAAAGCATTTTTTAATCTCCTCCTAAAAATATTTAAGTTGATGCAGATGTTCAGTTATTCAGATCTCTTTCAAAATGTTGAACTAAAATAAATCTTTTTGTTTATGAAGAAAATATCGCCTATCGTTGGGGCTTTGTCGGCTCTAACAAAAGACATAGGTGCTTTTCTGCAGGATGCAATCAGTGTATAATAACCTTCTCTGAACAACCCCATCCAAATGTTTAGTGTTTCATATAAACAGGTATTTATAATTCCTGACAAACACGCTGTTCAGTTTATTTTGCCATCAGCTACTGTGTGTTATTATTCAGAGACATTCACCCTTTTTCTGTTTTTGCTTCCCTTAATGAAGTACTTCTCCTGGAATCAGTTTCAGACCCTTCAAACTTAATGTCCCCTGTGGCTGCAGCGCATTATAATTTATTGCAAGTAACCTCCGAAGAAAAATTGGTATCTTTGCCTCGTTAATAAACGGTGGATTTATCTGAAGATGATCAGTTCAGCGCTGCTGCAGTAAGGACGTTATTGTTGGATTCTTAGGCGCTGATACCCAGACAGGTTAATGTTTCAAACAGGGCTCCATCTAGTCGTTTTATTAAGATGAAACCACAAGGTGAAAGCATTTTCTTTGCTGAAAGGAAGCCTTTTTAGAGTTTTTTTGCAGGTAAGTTGTAATCAATCTGACTTTTCTTTTTGTTTTTTGAGTTCTTTATGGCACTAGTGGCTCATTTTTTATGGTCAGTAGGCACAGGTCGGATTCGAACCCTGGTCGCCCATGTGCGCTACCCACTGCACCACCAAAGCACGCCCTGGCTTTTGTTGTCTAATAATTTTTTGTTTTCTGTCCAGTCTCTCAGCAGATGAGTACAAAGTCTTCTTGGAGCAGAGAGAGGAGAAGCTGAAGGCGGATGCTGCAGCAGCTGCAGCAGCCGCCGCCGAAGCCGCATCTGGCAAGAAGAAATGAAAACCTGCAACTCTCTTCTTTATTTCCACTTTATACGTGTACTGAATTCTTTAAAAAACTTGTTAATAAAAGTTTAATTTAAACAAAGAGTCACCTGTTTTTTTGTCTTCTTTTGATCCTCACCCACCAAGTCTGGTTTTGAGAATATTTATAACCCTAATTCATTGTTTCCCTGAACTGAGATGCTGGGATGTAATTGTTATTTCTCCAAAGAATGTTCATCTTTGATGATATTATCAATTTTTAACTCTTATGGAGGTGGTTTGGCCCAAAGACAGCTTGTGCAGAAAGATTCCTCCATATTTCACGCATCATTTCAATCATTCTGGGACTTAAAAGTTACAGCACATTAATTATTGGTTAAAACATCATGAATATTAGATGCAGAGATATTTTGAAGTGATTGAATGCTAGAGGAAACTCTGTTCTTTAAGCGAAACATTTTGTATACAAGGTTTTTTTTGCTGCAAGATTTAGTAATATTTACCATATCTGTGTAAATAATCAGGAACATTTACCTCCAAAACTGAGAAATGTAAAGAATTTTTCCATTTAAAGAAAAGCTTTACTTCAAAAATGTTTAAACTGCCTGGCTTAAGGTAATGAGCAACTTTGAAAGATTAAATATTTGAAGCAATTCTTTTGGTAAAAGCAACAAAAACAAAAGTAAAGATTCTTTAGACACCCCCTGATTGCAAAAAAAAAAACACACACAAATTCAATAAAATATTTGGTCTAATCTTTCCTTCCTGCTTCAAGTGGTAAATTTCCTCATCCTTTTTTTTTATTTAAAAAACATAAAAGATACTTTAAACAATTAGGCAGGAATGGTAAAATATAATTCCTAAAAGATGCTTAAACATAAATGATTTGGTAAACAGCAGTGTATACTTCCAGTCTGCAGTCTAAATTTATAACAGGCCTCTGTTGTAATTATGACAGCATTGAAATAGATTCACTTTTTAAATCTAATGTTTAGGATGAAGGAACCTGTATAACATTCAGAGGATGAATTACATTTTCTAAATGATGATCTTGCAATACTTTCTCATTTCTCCCATTAATATTTTGTAACTTAAATCATGCAACAAAATGGAAAATAAAAAAAATTTGGAATATTTGTGTTGTGGCACCAAACTAACATACAAAATGATACCTTTTATTTTATTATTTGATAAATATGTTTGATATAAAGTCAATTAGTTTAAGTCAGAGGAATGAAGATTTCTGTTGGGCAGTAATGCTTTTCTTTTTGTGCTTTGAAAATGCCTCTCAAAGAGTCGAGTAGTAAATGAGAATGAATTTATGAAGCTGCTTTTATAGGATGCATCATGTGAGAGTAGTGCACAAAGAAGAACTGATCTGCAGCAGGGCAAGTTTATTTATACACTGTGTGCAGAATTATTAGACAAGTTGTATTTTTGAGGATTATTTTTATAATTGGGCCACAATTGTGTTCTCAATCAACCCAAAAGACTCCTTAATATCAAAGTTTTACATTTTTGGAAGGTAATGTGTTTTGTTTTAGATTTGGCCATTTTATAAGGATGTCTGTGTGTGCAGGTAAATATTGTGGTGCAGAATTATTGGGCAACGTAATAAAAAACAAATATATACCCATCTCACTTATTTATTTTCACCAGGTAAACCAATATAACAAATTTAGAAATAAACATTTGCGACATTCCAAAACAAAACAAATCAGTGACCAATATAGCCACCTTTCATCACCATGAAGCTCCAAAGCCTTCCATCCATAGATTCTGTCAGTGTCTTGATCTGTTTGCCACCACAGCCTCCCAGACACTGTTCAGAGAGGTGGACTGTTTTCCCTCCCTGTAGATCTCACATTTCATGAAGAAACACAGGTTCTCCATGGGGTTCAGATCAGGTGAACAAGGGGGCCATGTCATTATTTTTTCTCCTTTTAGACTTTTTCAGGCCCGCCACGCTGTGCTGTATTTTGATTGCGTGTGACGGAGCATTGTCCTGCATGAATATCATGTTTTTCTTGAATGATGGCGACTTCTTCTTTTACCACTGTTTGAAGAAGGTGTCTTCCAGAAACTAGCAGTAGGTCTGGGAATTGATCTTGACTCTTTCATCAACCTGAAAAGGTCCCACAAGCTCATTTGTGATGATTCCAGCCCATACCAGCACCCCACCTCCACCTTGCTGGCATCTGAGTCGATAAGGAACCTGCTGCCCTTTACTGATCCAGCCTGGTGCCCATCCATCCATCTGGCCCATCAAGACTCACTCTCATTTCATCAGACCAAAACTCCTTGGAGAAATCAGTCTTCAGATATTCCTTGACCCAATCTTAACGTTTTGTCTGGTGTGTCTTGTTCAAAGGTGGCCTTTTTTCAGCTTTCCTTACCTTGGCCAGGTCCCTGAGTATTGAGCATCTTGTGCTTCTCGGCACTCCAGACATGTTGCAGCTCTGAAATATGGAACAACTGGTGGCTAATGGCTTCCTGGTAGCTTCACACTTGATCCTTCTCAATTCATGGGGAGTTATTTTATGTCTTCTTTTCTCAACACGCTTCTTGCGCCCCTGTTGGCTATTCACCATGAACCGCTTGATTGGGCAATGATCCTGCTTCAAAAGCTTGGCAATTTCTAAACTGCTGCACCTCTCTGAAAGACATCTGACATTTTTTTTACTTTTCAGAGTCTGTCAGATCTCTTTTCTGACCCATATTGCCAAAGGAAAGGAAGTTGCCTAATAATGAAGCACACCTTATATAGGTTGTTGATGTCATTAGGCCACAGCCCTTCTCATTACAGAGATGCACACCACCTGATTTACTTATTGGTAGTTGGCTTTCAAGCCTATACAGCTCGGAGTAGGACAACATGGATGAAAAGGATGAAGTGGTCGAAATACTCATTTGCCCAGTAATTCTGCACACAGTGTATGGAACATTTCAATAGTAGAATGATTCAGAGTGCAGTACATAAAAAATAAAATGCATGATAGGGAAAATCAGAAACACACTGCAGTGATATAAAGGTAATTAGATAAGGCATAAAATGAATAATGAAAGAGATTAAATGAATATAAAAAAATGAATAGTAAAATTATGTAATGTATTTTGGAGGTAAGTTAGTAAGATTTATAGACTGACATAAGTCTATTCTCTGAGAGAGGGGGAGCCAGCATAATGATTTCAGAACTGGGTAATGTGCTCCACTTTCTTAGCTTTAGTGAGGACGTGGGCAGTAGTCTTCTAGATTAACTGCAGCTACAGTAACTGATCTGCTTTATAGGCAGACATGTAAAAACAATATTGCAGTGGTCAATTCTGCTAAAGATATATAGATATATAGATGTATTTGCTTTTCAAGGTCCAGCTGAGACATTACTCCTTTGATGCTGGAGATGTTCTATAGGTGAGAGATGTTACTGCCTTTATTTGCCTCTGAGGGTTCAGTTCTGAGTCTCTACACCCATATTTCCAGCCTGATTGCAGGTTTCTTGCTGGTTTAACTCAAGCTGGGTGCTAACTTTGAATCACTCTTCCTTTGGTACAGAAGCTTTTACTTCAGTTTGTTTTGATTTAGTTTAAGGAAATGTTGGCACTTAAATTTTTCTATGCATTTACCCAGTGCTGGAATGCATAATTGGTCAGATGGCGGCATTATGATGTACAGCTGTGTGTACAGCATAGTTATATTACCTCTCTTTAATTTAGTTGTTTCTTACAATCTTAGCAAAGGGTAGCATGTAAATACTGAATCCAAGAGGGGACCCTTGAGGAAAGCACTGAGCTAGGTCACTGCTGCTTTTCAAAGTTTGTTAATGAGGTCAGAAGGCATGTGTTAAGAACATCATTAAGGCAGTATTTTTAAATTCAAACAGAATGATAACCTTCAGTATTCTATTCTAATCTCTGTGTTGATGTCTAAACTATCCAAAGGAACTCTGAACTTGATAAAACCATATTTGTGTTCGCTACCACTGTGTGTCAATCAGTAATGCCAGATCACCACAATCTGTTTGCTTCACAGGACTACTTAAAGTATTTAAGGTAATTTTTTAATGACATTTGTAGAATTATCTTCCATTATTGTCTGAAGAAGATGTAAATATCCAGCTGTAAGTCCATAATTATATAATCTGGTGTTACTCAGATTCTACACTCATGTGAGCCTAGCTCAAAGTGTAGAAAAAACAAACTTGTTATTATCCATCCATCCATCCATCCATCCATCCATCTATCCATCTTCTGCTTATCCAGGGTCGGGTCGTGGGGGTAGCAGATTCAGTAGGGAGGCCCAGACATCCCTCTCCCCAGCCACTTGGGCCAGCTCCTCCGCGGGAATCCCAAGGCGCTCCCAGGCCAGCCGAGAAACATAGTCCCTCCAGCGTGTCCTGGGTCCCCCCCTGGGTCTCGTCCCTCAAATATTCTAGATACTATTATAAATGAGAGTGTAAAAGCAAACAGAAAGAACCACCTTACAATCCTGAACATTTTAAATCGTCTCTGGCAGTAGCAGCAACAATTTAAAGTCGATTTATTTCTGCAGGATTTAAAAAATATTTTGCCTCGCTCTATTTTCTCCTCCTTTCTTTACAAAGTTGAGGGAGTTTTGTAAAGAACATTGAAATAGTTTCTAAGAGCTCTTGGTTTTCACTCAATTTGGAACCGACTTTCTGCTGTTTGCCATTACTTTGCCCATTTTGGGCCAAACGTCAATCAATACACATATGGCGTCACATTTAAGTCCAGAAAATTTTAACATGCCGAATTTGTTGTTGATTCCCTGATTGCAAGTTGTCAAATCCAACGGCTGTAAACAAGCCCAGAGTACTACCCCTCTACCAAGAAAGTCGACAGTGTGTCATGAGGTATGCAGGGTTTTCTAAGCTCTGAGCTGATCAATATAGCCAAACACATCAACTTTTATCTCACCTCACATTGCTGGAGATGACTAATTTATTCAAATTCAGCTTTTTCTAACCTTCTTCGAGCTTAATAAGTTTCTTTAGAGAGAAGTTTTCCCTTTTTTTAATATTCTAAGTTTTCTAGCCGTTCTGCCTTAAACCTTGACATTTA